GTGGAGAGGTTCGACTGTATTATTCAAAGGTGTGGAATTTATAATAAATAAATACGAGTCTTAAAACCGTTATTACCCATAATACTTTCAACAAGAGAACAAAAAGGACAAAAAGGCCATGTTTTCTGGCTTTCCGATTTAAAGGTGATTATTAAGTACTCTTGTTACCAGTCTCTCAGAGATGAATAACTAAGCTTCACTTAGTTGGCCAGAAATTCCCCTTTCACCGAAACGAATAACCCTCTATCCATGTATAAGTGTACAGAGTAAAACATTAGCTGAATATAGATATATAATTTATAACCTTAGAAGAATCCAGAAATTTTGAAATTATAGCAAGTGACAACAATTTAAGAATTTTCAAGAAGGTTAATGGGTGTTCGAACGCCTTAGAGGAAAATTTTCTTCGCGATAGAACCTTTTGTTTTCTATTTTCTTTCTTTTTGGAGTTTCTGAAAAATGTAGACCTTACCATTAACTTATGTCCATAATTCTGAAAATTTCTGGCTAAATGATAAGTACTCAAGGTAACACCTTATGGGATGTCGTTTAGTTACTGACGGAATAACGACTAAACAAGTAAAACTTCATGTGGTTAAGGATCGAAACAAGTATTTTAAGCCATAGGTCCTTTGCAGCTGGTAATTCAAGTAGTACAAAACCGCCATGATAAAGAGCAAAGGACAAACTGGGTCAAAATAAACAAAAAGACCACATCACTGAAAATTGTAATTTCCTTTGTTTGTGTTCTTTCAATGAATCTCTTGCTCTCCAGCATGGCGGTTTTGTACCAGGAGAATGAATAGCTAGCTGCAAAGGACCTCTGTGTCCAGACCCAGACTGGCGGTTCAGCAAAGACTATCATATTTCAGATTCAACCAATACAAACATCAATCTCGCTAATGCAGATTTGAAACGATTTGCAGCAAGACGTTGGTTTCCTCCTTGTTCAAGATGGGGTTGTAATGGCAAGCGAGATGAGGCCACGGATTCGTACAGACGTTTCAAATCCACCATACTTCCTTTACAGCGAGCCTTGGATAAAGCTGATACCCTGACGAGTCACAGGACGAGACTGGCCAAGACAAATAAAATCGAATAAACAATTCTCAGCAGGTAGGTGTTCATTTAATCCTAATCCGTAAACAAAAAGTTATGCAGTTGAACCCGAATGCTCAAACAAAAAACCAGCGGGTTGGTTCTGTATGTCTTGCACTTGGCAAACTTAAGGCTTTTGTGTGTTGGGAGTGGGGCGGGGGATAAACTATGGCGTCAGTCTTTCACTCTGTTGAAGGTAAACTTGCCCAATTCTTTAGGCTCTTTCACTGACAGAAGATGGCCACTTTGCGATGGCATCTACGACTTGGTCAGTGTTATGCCTAATTGCCATAAGAGTGTTTTGGAGATGATCTAGCTTAATTGCTTCAGTTTCTTGAGATTTCCCAAAACGTTTCCACTAATTTCTCAAAAACTTAATCAAACGTTGCTAAACAAATTCAGAAGTTGTTTTTTGCAACGAAAGTTTCTCAAAAGTTGCTCTAAAAATACTTTTTGTTGCAATCTTCCTTTATTCTGTCTGATGCCAAGATATGCAAATTGTACAACAAATTAAAAGTAAGATTTCTAACCACTTTTGTTCAACTTTGCGGCGTAACCAGCATTACTAAATTAACTTTGTCCCTAAGTAAAGGTGTAAAGACTGCGCATGAAAAATTCATAAAATATTAATTGTAAAAATTCTAGTATGAGCCAATAAAATTGTTTTTGCTGTTGTCTAGACTTGAATGATCTTATTCACCTGAAACACTTAAGTCAGTCGGGTCTGAATCTTCCTCCGCCATTTTGAAATGTTCCTTAAAAACCCGCTGAACTAGCATCCCGGTTGCACACAAGATTTAACCCCCCCCCGGGGGGGGGAGGGTATAGCTCCTTTTCACAGCCAGTCGCTAACGAACAAATGAATTCACAAATGGCAAAATGATTTCTTTTTTTTGTTGATTCAATAATCCATTCCTAAAATGAACAATCCAATATTCACATTCAGCCTCGATTCAATAATCGAATGTTGATTTGATCACTGTTTTTTGAAAAGCTACACAAGTTCCTTAAGTCGACATCAGAATTTTTTTTTCTTTTCTAAGAGTCGAGGGCGGGCAAGTTCTGAAGTGCAAACCCAAAGAAACTGTTACATGTACGGCATTTTGCCGCCAGAAATCAGTGCAACAGACTTGACCTCTCAAAAAACATGATGGTCACACTGAAGTCAGTGCATGTGAGGTGATTGGTGGATTTCGATCCTCGGCGTTTGTCAGTTTCTTTGCGTTTGCGGTCTGTCTATTCTAGCCGTTATTTTGATTTAAGGTAATAAAAAACGCAGTCGTAAACGGGTAGAAAAAGAGAAGCAAATACGAATGAACACAACAGACAAGAATAAATAACAGGTAGATTTTGCTCGCTAAGTACTTACGAGAGGTCGACTTGTAGCAAGTCAATGAATCGAGATCCAATTTGACTATCGGATTATTCATTTTATGAATGGATTAATGTAACAACAACCGAAATCATTAATCATTAATGAATTCATTACTTCGTTAGCGACGGGAACGCTTGACTGCTTTGACTGCAACGGAAAAATTCATAAAATGTCTACTAAAACATTGTGAAATATGGAAGCAAGGCCAATTTAAGCAACCTTGTGGAAAGCCCTAGCTTATTTCATTGGCTATTATAAGGCGGCGCTGTAGGAAGTTCCATAATGCAATTCGCAAAAGACTGCCTAATCTCAAGTGTAAACAGAAAACAACGAATTATTGCTTTTTTATTCGCTTTTTTTTGTTTACTTATTTCTTACTTCTTCTTATTGTTATAATTATTATTTCTTTTTGTATTTTGTTTTTGCAGAAAGCCACACGACATGTGAATTCAAATCATCCTAGAAATATAAAGGATCAAATTATTTTAATGTAATAAAAATGTTTGGTAAATAAGTTAAAGCTAAAGGCAAGACAGATAAATTTTCAACTTGTAAGATGTAACTGTTATTTGATGGCGTTACAATAAACATCAGTTTTTCTTTTTCCTTGAGAAAAAGTAAATATTTGTTTAGAAATTTCTTATTTCAGAAGATTTTCGGCATTCAAAATGTTTTTCAAAACTTCTGCTTGTCAGAACGAGGTGAGAATAGCAGTATTAACATAAAGCTTGGTAAAATATGCCCCATATTCACATCAAAGCTTATACTTTCTTCAATCTTACTTCAATATCCTGCTCTTTTAATAGACCTTTCCCGCATTCCTGTAGGGGATGACCCTCATATTTTTTTTTTTACAATCAGATTCAGTTATTCATTTCTTTTAATTAACAATTTAAAAGGGCACATTTTCAAGGTGAATAACCGTAGGCGTAAAGAAAAATCGCAAGAAAGCTGTTGGTAGGAATATATATAACATTTTGCTAGCGAAACGGATGGAAAAAAAATGTCTCCCACATATACACCAGGTGGGTCTTCAGTAACCTTCCTTTTCTTGTTGTTGTGGGAGGAAAATTATCGAACAGAACTTTTGTGCTTGTACTTTGGAGAAAAACAGATTTAACAAGGGCGGGTTAACTGTTGGCATTACAGTTACTCCGATTGAGAAATTTAGTACAGTCGAACTTCCCTAATACGGACAACCGAAGGGACAGAGCGAAGTGCCCGTATTAGAGAGGTCACTATGATTACGTCACTTTTAAGACCCACTGACAGGTTAGAGTGTTCAGTAAGTAAAATCAAGCCCAAAACTAAGTGTCTTGTTAATTTCTGAATCTAAATTGATTAGTGTTAATGTACTCAGTTACATGCTGTACATACGAAGTTTGGAACAAAACGAAATACTTCGCCTAAGACATGTTCTGGTATTGGTATCGCTGACTGATAAAGTGTCAATGTTTGTGTAACTGCCGACCGGAAATGGTATATCATTCGATTCCTTTTCATCGGCCGAGAGCCCACCACGTGACCTGCAAATAACTGCCTACAAATAATGGTGTGCTCATGCGCAATGTCGTTCAGTTGTTTTTGGCTGCAAATACTAATCTGCTCATGTGTAAATGAAACCACGCTTTTCTCCGTCTTGGGATCGCTCTCGCGTGAAAAAGGCAGATTGCTTCGCTTCCCGAAGATATTCCTTAAAAAAAAAACTACATTGTAGGTGATCGAATGATAAAACAATTATTGAACTCTGTTATCGCAAAATATCGTGATTTGCCAGTGTCTCACAGATCAATTTTTTGCCTCAGCGTTCGGATTTGGAAAATAAATGTATGAGAATATCGTCGGTACATATAACTGTCCGTAATAGATAGGTGTCCGTATTAGAGAGGTGTCCGTACCGAGAGGTTCGACTGTAGCTTTCTCGCTTTTTTTGTTAAAGGAAAAATGCCAAACAGGTCTTTCTCTGTTCCAGTGGATTTGATATGATTGATCGAACGCACCCATATGTATCCCTGGATTTCTGTGAAATAACCGATTTATATTGACAATTTTCACGACGATTCCTTTCCAGCAGGTGAGATAAAAGAGGGAAACGGAAGATAATAATAGTGATAGTTTATAAATTTGCTTATATCGCGCCTTTAACATATAAATGTCTGCTGCTCTTGATACAGTTGATCATTCTCTTCTCCTTGCTAGACTATCTACCCGTTTTGGCATTTGTGACCAGGCACTGGACTGGTTTCGTTCATATCTATCTGATCGCACTCAGTATGTCAGAATCCAAGATGTCTCTTCTGATGCGCATGCCTTACCTTATGGTGTACCTCAGGGTTCCGTGTTGGGCCCCTTGCTGTATTCTTTGTACACTTCCCCCTTAAGTGATATTGCAAGATCTCATGGTCTATCTTATCACTTTTATGCTGATGATACACAGCTATATTTATCTTTTGAAACGTCATCGCCTGAGGATTTGTCAACATGTACATCTGCTCTTGAAGATTGTGTTAAAGATATTGACCTTTGGATGTTAAATAACAAACTGAAGCTGAACAGTGGGAAGACTGAAATTATAGTTTTTTCATCCTCCTATCGCCCACGTCCTGCGTTAAAAAACCTGGTGATTGCCTCTGACACTGTTGACTGTTCAACTACTGCTATAAATATTGGTGTTATTTTTTAATAACTCTCTATCGATGTTGCCGCACGTTACTGCTGTTTGCAAGTCTTCGTTTTTTCATTTACGCAACATTTTTAAGATTCGCAAGTTTCTTTCTTACGATACATGTAAAACTCTAATTCATGCCTTTGTTACTGCAAGGATCCACTATTGTAACTCATTACTTTACGGTCAGCCTAAATGTATCTTGAAACGTTTACAGAGTGTCCTAAATAGTGCTGCTAGGCTTATTCACCTTACTAGTAGATATGAGCATGTTACGCCGTTGCTTATTCAACTTCATTGGCTACCAATTGAACAAAGGACAACTTTCAAAATTGCAGTAATTACATTTAAGGCGCTTCATGGTGCTGCACCTAGCTATATCACTGATCTCATCAAGCCTTATACACCTGGCAGACTTCTTAGATCCTCCAATCAATTTTTACTTTCTACATCTAAATTTAATCTTAAAACTTATGGTGGCCGACCTTTTACTATTGCTGCACCTTCTGTTTGGAATGCATTTCCATTCGAACTTAGATCTTGTAATTCCCTTTCTTCTTTTAAATCTAAGCTCAAGACTTGGCTTTTTAAAATTGGTTATGATGTTGTCGTATAGAATGATGATGTTTTTATAGGATGACAATGTAGTTTTGTAGGTTTAGGATTTTGTTGTTATTTTTATCATGTAAAGCGCTGTTGGACCATTGGGAATTAGCGCTCTATAAATATTGTATATTATTATATTATTATTAAATGATTAAAAGCGCTTTCCAGTCATCATCATGATAGATAAAACGGATAAAAAGTAAAAATGCTGATAAAAATACATAAATAAAATGAAATGAAAATAAAGTAAAATCTGGTCAAAACTACATAAAACCTAATCTAAAAAGATATGTCTTGACATCTCTTAAAAGCACACAGTGATTCAATCAGTCACTGATATACGCGGGGAAGCTGTTCCACAATGTAGGGTGGCAGCAGAAAACGATGTAGCGCCTAAAGCTGCCAACAAAGTCATATGCCCCTAAGGGATGTTCTAAAACAATGGAGTGAAGTGCGATCTTAATGAATATGTAGCCCAGGATCTAATGCTAACTAAATATAAATCGCTGATGTAGTTAGATGGCATGCCATGAATGGCGTTAAAAGTAATAATTAAAATTTCAAAAAAGAAACGATAAGACACTGGCAACCAAAGAAGATTAGAGAGAACTGGCGAGATACGTTGGTACTTCCTAGTCTTGCCGCGGTGTTCTGGACTCGTTAAAGCTTACAAATCCGATATTTGGGCAGCCCATAAAGTAAACTGTTACAGTAATCTAGTCTTGAGGCCACAAAAGCATGAACTAATGTCTGATGGCATTTCTTTGACAAAAATTTTGAAATTCGAAGGTTGTTAAGAATATGATAGAAACAGGCTTTACAGATTTGTTCATACTTGGTGAATTGTCAATAACGGCTTCCAAGTATCTTACATTAAACGAAGGATCAATATTATGATCACCAACTTGCAGACTTAAGGGGCCAAGTTTATTGAACTGCTGGCTTGTCCCGATGACGAGAGATTCAGTTTCATCGTCATTTAGTAGCAACTTTCTTTCAATCAGCCATGTTCGTAAGTCACGTATGCACTCCTCTTTAGCACACAGCACCTCATTCTATGCGTTACTGTCATCTGCTCTGAAACTGAGGTAGAGCTGCGCGTCGTCGGCGAAAGTGACACTCGATAACCTTAAACAGCGAGGAAGTGCAAATGACGAACAGCAAGGGTCCTGGACAAGAACCCTAAGGTACGCCACATTCAAGGGAGAATTGTCTAGAAAGCGACCCATTTATGGAGACTTGCTGGCTCCGATTCAACAGATATGAGCTGAACCAGTCAAGCACTTTCACACGTATGCCGCGCAGTCGCTCCAACAAGATACCGTAAAATTCCTAAAAAAGCCCTGGGGCTTGTATTTTTCAAAGGCTGCCATTTTTGAGGGGCTTTCATACGGAGGGAAATAAGCGTTTGAAAATCTGCTAGACTTATAATGGGAGGGAAATTTTCGTCTGAAAATAAATGGGGCTAGCTTATAGTTGGAAGGAAATTAATATCAGTAATTTGAAGCAAGGTTTTACTAAAACTCGCATTGAGAACGTAGATCTTTCTAAACCACAGTCACGCACGTACTTTGTCTTTATGGACCCAGGAAATCCAAGTTAAAACTGAAGAGTGAAGTACGCAAACAGCAATATATTGTGACACTTTTTGACCGTAATCATTTGGCACACGTTATAGTGCTTTGGCAAATGTAAAAATATATGTGCTACTGTACAATTTTTGCTTTGTTTTATTTTGAATTTGAGGGCAATTTCTGAGTACAAGCCCCCGAGGGCTTATATTTGGAGGGGCGATTTATCGGAGGTTTTTTTTTTGCGTAACGAGTTTGGGGGCTTATAAATGGAGGGGCTTATTTTCGGAATTTTTCGGTATTATGATCGACTGTGTCAAATGCTGCAATTATATCCAACTAGACCATCAGGGTCACATGCTGCGAGTTAATTTTTAGAGGACGTCTTTCATAGCTTTCCATGCAGTGATTTATGCAGTTTGATCAAGACAAATTTTGTCCCCAGAACGTTTCTTAACACCACGGTAAAAAAAAAAAAATTGACTGATTTGAATTAGAGTTATTATATTCGCCTTTCGAGTACGTATCTAAAGAATCATGCAACCCCAATCCTGTATATTTTTGTTCTACTCATTGTGATCTTAAACGAGAATTTTCGGACACCAATTGTAGTCCCAATTGTTGTCTAGCCCTTCATTACCCACCTGGTCTATGCAGGAAAGGTTGTCAAAACTATCTGGGTCTAAAATTTTATTTAAAAGCAGGGTGGGTTCACTTACGTGCCATAAAAACCAGAATGATAAAGGCGCCGTGATCGAGAGGCAGGGCCTTCGATTTTTCCACCTTATCCGGGAAGACTAGAATTTCTCACCATTTCTAAATGCAAGAACAATAGCAGAACGACATTCTCCTCAGTTTTTGAATAGGTTACGGAAGAAAGATTCTCTTTTCAGCTCTATACAAGCACCAATACATATGGTTCGTTCACACCAATTCTAAAGGATTTGTAAATTATCGTTGTCATTTTCTATTACGAGCTATATAACTCTTAGTCTAATAGTTGTGAAATAATGTTAACATTTTACTTCAAGTGCTTAAAAAGGTGTAACTTGAGTTACATCAAATCAAATATTCTGATTAATCATTGTCAGTTTCTTTTTCTTCAATCACCAACACATGTACATTGTTCACACCAAACATAAAGTGAAATATGTAAATTTTCCTTTGTTTGATGAAGCCACTAGACCCCTAGGAAATTCAGTCAGAAATTGAAAATTCATACTACCAGCTTTCCTGTGATTCATTAAACTTTAAAGCAAGGGTTTCCTACAGCAAAGCGCCCTTTTTAGCAATTGTGCAGTAGGTGTGAACAATGGCAATTGCCCCTTTAGCATGAATTGATGTTACAATAAATTAAAGTCGGTCTTAAAAAATAAATATTTCGGATATTAATAAACCAATAGTTATACTAACCCTGAACTAGGAAGTTGAGTATAAAATTAATTTAAGTTTAAGCTAAATTAGGCTTGGCTGCATGAGTTATTTAGTCAGTATATGTTTTGACTGATTTGTCTTTTTCCCCACTTTCGCGCCCTTAGTAGTAGTACTTACTGAAAGTGGATCTGAAAACACTTCGCTCAGGACACCTTGAAGGTGCCAATTTCTAATAAAAAATGCGGTTATCTCAACCTGACTTGGGTTTTCTGTTAGTAAAGATTACTTAGTAGTTTTGCGAAGTGTAGGCAGTTTGCTTCATTTGTATGAAAATCATATTTTTTCTTGGTATAGTCTTTTCCTCAGTTTACAGTTTCTTTCTTCCGTCTTGTATTTTCAAAGAGGTGTGACTGACAGCATATGAACGAGTTCCACGTCGGGTCGAACGGCGGTTGCTTCGGAAAGAACCTGCTTCTTGGCGATGGAAAAATACATGCCTAAATCCTTGACGGAAGTTTTCATTAAAAATGAAATATAAAAATGGCGTTATGCACACGTTAGAATATGCCAGTAAGATTACCCAGAAAAACAATGTGCTGCTGTAGCAAGGCGGAGGAAATCCCCACTGGAATAAAGATAGGTAAATCGAAACGTTTACAGGCAGCCAGCAGCATATAAACACCACCACAACAGCGACAACCATCTTCAAAACCCTCCGATTGCGTTTGAAAATCCTCTTTTTATCTTTTAATGACTGGATGCCGGGGAATTTCTTTCTCCAGAGGGAAATGACGATCATACCGTAAACAATTATGATTATTGTGGCTGGGAAGAAAAACAAGGTCACTGACAGTACCACAAAATACGCCTTCGACGCTTGTATGCTATCCACGTTAGGACCCCAGCTGTATCGGCATAAGGAGTCATTAGAGAGTTTGTACACGTAAAAGTAAGGCAGATGTAACAAGGCAGCTATGAACCACGTGCAAGCTAAAACCAAACCGCATATTTTACCACGGCTGATAAGACCAGATTTCATGGGATAAACCACTCCGTAGAATCTGTCGAAGGCGATGGCTACCAGGCTAAGAATTGAAACGGCTGTTGCGATATCCTGGACAAAATGATCCAATTTGCACAGGAGGGAGCCGAATATTCCACTCACAAACCACCTGAAAGGGGCCGAGTAGAGCTCCACGATCAAACGTGGTATGACAAATACAGTGAATAAAATGTCCGAAGACGCCATGTTTATTATCAGGTAGTTTATAGGAGATCGCATTTTGCGATTCTTGAGAATGACCAAAATTACCAGCGAATTTCCAAGTAAAGAGCCGATCGCGATTAAACAATAAGCGAAGGCCTTCAAATTTACCTCGGCAGATGTATCTTCAAGAAAAGCACATATTGCCCCGGGTTTTGATTCATTCTTCGCTGTACTATTGTCAAACATTTTTGATTGCGGCAGAGATTTGGAGATGTCCTAGTCAAATGAAAGTTCTAGTGGCAGAAGGAGAGTTCTTCGATGTTGCATCTACCACTTATAAAACTGGCAATTGCCGCGGAAGCGACTTTATTTCCTAGCAAGAAAAAAAATGAAAATAAAATAAAAAAGGGTTTTTGTTAGTACAAAAATTCGTACTCAAAATATTCAGTCTAACGCTATTCTCCATTAAACATTATTTGCAAACTAATAACATGTTGAAAGACCACAGGGGTATGCATCTGGTGAATTTCACTAGCTAGACGACAAACGAATGGTTTGAAACTTGAACTCACAATTGCCAATATTCGTGTGGAAAGAAGGCCTTAGGTGTGTTTCCGCGAATTAACATCTCATACGCGCAAGAACAATACTTAGTTACATTGTTTGTATTTTCAAAGGACAAATGTGACATTAGTTTTAGGCAGTTTAAACAAAAAGCCAGGCGAATGCGCAATAAACAGTTCAACGTAAACAAAATATTCTGAACAAGTCATTAAGATAAGTATGATGTGTTCGATGACTACTGAAGCACCCATGCTCCATCTTATGAATTTTTGATGCTAAAATCCCTCAAAATACGAATTTTTGGACTCTCTTTAAATTTTCTCTTTCCTGTTATTCCGTGAGGTAATTGGTTTAAATTATTAATTTCCTTGTAGCGAGAAAATATGGTTCTATTAGTAAAGCAAACCAAAAGAAAACAAAAACCGCTTAATTTGTAAACGTAATTTTGTATTGCTTTAAACAAAACATTCCGTGGAAATTGGAATTGAAAATCGAGACGTCAATTTTTGTCACTGTTTGTTCTTAAGAGCTTGAATACTGTAATTTTCACACCACTATTCTTTAAGTTCGTTATTATATTAATCCCGTTGGCCTTGAAATCATTTAACTCTCAGCTCACTTTCTAAGGATCGATGAAACTATAGTAACTTTGGTTATTAATAAAACCTTGTTGTTCAAGGATAAACACGCCTCCATGCGGTCACTTGAACGATTGGCGGGGCCTCCCCCAAAGATACAAAAAGTTAAGGCAGATAAATAGGTTTCTTTTGGCGTCACTTTTGTTTGAATATTTTCTTATCCAAACAAGAATATTTATTAATAATGCTAAATAAAAATGTGCATATTCACCACAAAATTTTAAAGTGGTAGATTGTTTTGTTTTATCCCTTTTTTAAAACCCGGTTTCTGACCAACTGTGAGTGCACCTGTACTGATTATTTGCCAGAAGATGATCTCAATATACCGAACACTGTCACGCTCACTGTATTAGTTTTGAAAATTTTCCAGCGCTAAATGATCGAATGGATAATCTGTTTATTTTTTTCCAGCTGCTCTTATTAACATGTTATTTACTCTACCAAAAAAAAAAAACGCTTGTCCGCAAGAGAGCTGAGATGTAAAATCGGCCTTAGCCAAATCTAGCCTGCCCTTTAAAACTTCCTTGCTATTTATCGAAGAGAGAGGATACTGCCAATAAAATAGAACCGCAAGCAAGAAGCTTACTTCCGTTTGTGTTGAGAAAAGTTGTCCTCCGGGGGAAAAGGCTCAGTCACCTACACGAGCTACCTTGTGAGGGCCAATTTTTCAATGCAAAATTTAACGAATCGTTTACTTCAGAAACAAAAAATTGGCTTCCCTGGTCGGGTCACCCTGTTTAGTTGTTAAGGTCACAAGCCGGCCAACTTTTCTCCATATAAACAGTTTGGTTCGCTCCTGCCAGTCAACTCGATCAAGGCGAGACTACCAAACTTAAGCATGGTCGAGCTCTGCTGTTGACAATCAGAGCATGCGTGAGCTCCAAGCTCCAGCAAAGGGATCAACGTTTTTTTCTCATATAAACCTTTGTTAAAGTTGACTCGGCCTGAAGGGTGACCCTCTTTGCCGGTATAACTTTTCTTCATACAAATGGGCCTTCTTCACAAGGCGCCCATATTGTCCCGAGAGACTAAAAAAAGCTTTGTCTTACCTCCCTCGACCACGTGGTGAAAAACTTGGGAGCGAGACTAGAAAGGTAAAACCCGGGACAAAATGGCCGCCGTGTAACAAAGGCCCATGAGGCCTGAAAATGGGAAGAGAATTCTGTTTCAAGTAATACATATCATATATATGGTATATTCGAAGTGTGATTAGTTCCTGCCGAAGATAGAAGATTTAGTTGCAAAATTTTGTTTATAGATTTCGTTGACAAAACTCCGAACTCTAATTAATATTTAAGCAACTACACGTAAATCGATCATCCTCTTTTTAGCCCCATTAAAACATACTCTCCTAACTGGCTTAAACATACGTTACCAATTGTAGTAGCGGCATTTCCGTCATAAATAGCTACCTAAACATGGGTACTATCTGCACACCCATCTCTCTATGTACCATGGGTTTTGTCTCACATGTACAATGTAGCTACCAAAACAATTTCATGGTCGATTGTGTCGAAAGCCGTTTTAGGGTCGATGAATATGACGCCATTTAATATTAAGTGATCAATTATTCGTGGTCTCAAGTAAAGCCGATAAGGTGCTATGCAACGAGCGAAAACCAGACTGGTAATTATTCAACGGCTTGTTTTCATTTAGGTAATCGTACAGTTGTTGGAAGATTATTTTTCGAAAATTTTCGAGACAATGGGTAATACAGATATTGGTCGATAATTGTTATGATCGGATTTAGTACCTTTTTAAAGATAGGGGTCTCTTTAGCCACCTTCCAATTTCGCTCGACAAAGCCCAGTTTCAACAGGGATCTTAAATATACTTGACAGTGAGGCCCCAACAATACCACTAGCCAGTTTTAATAACTTACAGAGAATTTTGTCCAGCCTACAGGCCTTCCTTTCGTTTATTTCACCCGTCAACATGTAAATCGCTGTAACGTTGGGGGCTTTAAAGCAAAAAAAAAACTTAACTTTGTCAGTAGGACGAAGGCAAGACTCTGGTTCGACATTTGCTTTTTGGTTACCTCCCTTGCTACGTCAGGGCCTTTGGTTGTCAAAAAATTGTTGAAAGCTTGCGCCATTTCGGGTGCATAGTTTTATCATTATCATCAATCGTAATTGCGGAGATGTTTTGATTTTTTCCACATTTGCGTGATGTCAGCTCGTTTATAAGATCCCATGTTTTGCCCGGGTCCCCTTTGTTTAATCATTAGGCATCGCATAGTTTGAACCTTGATAAAGTTCTTAAGGATTTCGAATACAGAAAAAAAAATCGCTCTTATTTGACAAGTTGAGCGCCGGTCAAATAGCGACGTTTCTACTGCTGTCCTCTTGGTCGTTGCTTAAAGCTCCCTATTTTAAATCGTATCCTTTGTCAACATAACTGACAAATGGTATCATCAAGATACTTCCAAGCGATGAACCCGATTGTTGGTCAATATTCAGTTTCTAGTAATTTTACACTTCTTTGGATATATCTGTTTGTTTTACAAACATACCGTAAAATTCCGAAAATAAGCCCCTCCAAATATAAACCCCCCAAACCGGTAACGCAAAAAACCCTCCGTTAAATCGCCCCTCCAAATATAAGCCCCCCGGGGGCTTGTACTTGGAAAATCGCCCTCAAATACAAAGTAAAACAAAGAAAAACGGTACATTTCCTTCCAAGAATAAGGCTAGCCCAATCAATTTTTAAACGCAAATTTCCCTCCGTACATAAGCCCCTCCGAATATAAGCCCCTCCAAAAATAAGCTCCTCAAAAGGGACCTTTGGAAAATATAAGCCCCGGGGCTTATTTTCGGAATTTTACGGGAATTTACTTCCATCTATAAGGGTAGCTCAATCGATTTTGAAACGCAAATCTCCCTCCGTAGATAAGCCCCGGGGCTTATTTTCGGATTTTTACGGTATGCTATGATTGACGGAGCCTGACGGTTGATGTCAATCCTTACTCATTTTGTTAAGTTTTGAATGATAGCTGTATACATTTAAAAATAGGGAAATCAGTATTTTTGTGTACAGTGGAAACTCTATATAACGATATAACAAACTATTTTTTTTTTTCCTAAGCAATATGAAAAAAACCTCGATATAGCGAAACTTCGTTATAGCGAACCAGGAGCGATTTTGCCGGTCCCGGTTAGCACTTTGTTATATCGAGCTTTCACTGCATCACAGGAATACTCGAGCCATTCTTCAGTGCTTGTTATTGGAAGATTTCTTTAAGTTAATAGGTCTCATTTTTTATTTCATTTGGATTCTGAGTTTAATTTTCTTGATTTATACTTTTAATTATTATCTGAAAGCAATGCTGATTAATCAAGGATTCCGGTAATTACAAGGGAAATCGAGATATTAAGACTTTCACCTGTCAGCCATCTGTGTTTGCGAATGTAAGTCTCATTTTGCATTTACCGAACCCTATGGTCTGCATAAATCTGTCTCAAAATTGAATTCTATTTGCGCAAAGTGTGTCGTGCGCCAAACAGAGCATTAAATTTAATTTACGGATTCACCCTCGCGGGTGGCTACATCCTTGATAAACGTGTGAAAAAGGGGCACAGTTTATTGCTCTTTGTCTTAGTAGTTAGTATATATAATACATAGATCTACCCATAAAGATTTTGCGGATAAGCGCCGGAAACAAGTTTTTCGCAGTCCTTTTGCTAAAAAAAGAAAATTGGAAATCAAAAGAATTCCCTGTCCATTTAAGTTTAATTACCGGATGAAATAAGTCACCGATCTGTGGTACTAGAAAACATTTCTACCGAAAATTCTACTCAGACCTGTTTCTTCAGTTATGGAAAGCAATAGAACATTGCCTCAAAATCATTCGGACAGTTCATGTTATTCTGATTCTTTTAATTTGGATGCCACTTCAAAAATCGGTCAGATTTTGGCTTATATTGCAATATTTGTCTTCAGTTTGATTGGTAACTCCTTAATCGCCATGGTTTTCCACAGGGAAAAAGGCTTACGCACAACTGTGGATTGCTTTATCCTCAACATGGCCTTCTCAGACTTTCTGTT